AAGCACTGGCGTGGCCCGTAGGGTTTGGAAGGGGTGTTTGGTGCTCCTGGAAGGCTGTCAGGCTGGAGAGGGGTGGGCTTGAGGCGAGTTGGCCGTGCTGTACCCTCCATCTCTTTCTCGTTTCAGAAGACGAGCGTCACTTTGGCAGTCCGGACTCCTTGACTCGACCCCCCATAAAAGCGTGTAGATCAGCAGGTGGGTTTCGACTTGGAGAGGTTACTGTGCGGGTCACTTTGCCTTACAAAGGTGCTGACATGCACAAGACCTGAGGAAATGGCGTTTATTGGGGTTTAGCTCCTTTGCAGGTTTCACCATGGCTGTGGCGTACGGGTGAGGACATCCCACTGTGGTTTTGACTCCATACATAAGGATTGGTGTGTGTAGGCCATCCCGAAGCCCTTAGGTGACTGTTTCACCTAGTGCAGCACTTAGAACAGCGTTTTATTGGGGCGTTAAACCGGGAAATAACTGATTTTACTAACACTGCTTGGTTTTTGAAAGGCTGAATTGAAATGAAGTATCTTGAGATGCAAAAATAGATTGCTGTAAGACTCTGCTCATACAGTGAGCAGCACTGCTTACGAGGAAGTGCCTGGTTGGGGCTTGCCCATCCTTTCTCTGAAGCACCAAGCATACTTTGGTACTTGCTCTTGGACGCTTGTGTTCGCTCTGTGTGGCACCTTCTTGTTTCTGTAGTGGGCGAAAACTCTTCCTCAAAACTTTAGAGAGAAGCTAACTTTGTGTAATAGTCACGTGGCTTTGGCCTGTCATTCCATTAGAAAACTGCAAGCAAATTGTCTGTTCCTTCCCTTTTAGTCTGTTGGTCTGTTTTGAGTTGGACTGTGTACGTTGTTAGTGTGTGGCAGTTCTCAGATGGATGAGTTGGGGTGGCCTGAGACTGTTCTCCTTTCCTGTCTGTGCTCTTGCCACAGGGCTGTCACCCAGCTCTGGTTACAGCTGCAGGGCATGGCCCCAGTTATGTGGCATGGCCCTTAAAAAGGGCTGCTGATATTTTGCTTGAGAAGCAGAATTTCCAGGAGGAATGGAAAAATCTTATCTGGAAGGAGAAAGAGAGATTATGAGTATTTCCTTGGGAAAATACAAAGGTTTATCTGTGAAAAAAGCTGTGGGAAGCCGTTACTCCCAAACGATGGCTAACAGAGTACTAATATGCTTAGTATTTTAAATGGGACTGGGCTGCTTTAGGAGGTACAGCTGAGGGGATTTTGTTATTTTTTTTTTTTTAAGCAGACATCTCTCAAAATGAGGTGGGGGAAAGAGATGTCCTCCCCCCACCTCCCTGAGCTCTTAACAGCGGTACTTGATTAGAGTCACAACAGGCATAAAAGTATGATGTTAATAGACTCTAATGCTTTATGTAGGAGCAAAGGAGTGATTTTTTCCCACCTATAGCTGTACAGCATTGGGAGTTTTTCGGCAGAGTTTAGGGCAGGCCCGGGGGAACGCAGGGTCTGTGAGACAGCGGGACGAGCAGGGTGGACTTTTATAAGGATGTAATTGCATGTTCCCCTGAGAGCAGAATGGAAGCAAAACCACAACTTGAGAAACTGGTTTCTGGCTTCTGCTTAGAGGTTTCAAATATAGATTAAGAAACTTGCTTCTGGAGCTAAAAAGTTTTAAGAGCCTGCAAACCCAGGCATCTTCTAGACCAACGAGCTAAAGAGACATGCTAGTAATCTCTGTTGAAGTTGCCCGAAAATGTGCAAGTAGAGTGTGCGACTATGAGTTAAAGGCAGGTACTAGGTGGTTTTGGCACTTGAGTTTGTGCTGCCTGTAGTTGCTGTGGAACATTGCAGCAAGCATGTCGCAGGCTTATCTCCATGTTGAAAAAGATTGAACCCGCAGCGGGAGAGATATGTACCAGATTTAAAAGAGCAACTTCCACTGTGTTAAAATAGTGGCTTTATGTTTTGGGTTATAAACCTGTAGTTCATGAACTTGCAGATTGCTAATCCCTTTGATAAACCGGTGTGTGAAACGGGGATAGTAAGAAGGTGACTCCTGGCAGGTGACAGTGCAGTAGGTGGCTGGCTAGCAGATTTAGATTTAAGGTGAATTGGTAAATCCTCGCTAGCTGCCTGGGAGGCAGGAATGATCCTTTGGGTAGGAGGCTTAAGGCCTTGTAAGGAAAGAACAGGCATCTCTGGACTGGAATTTATATTTCTCAAAGTTAAACTTCCTAAAGGGGGAGTTTACTCTTCTTTCAGGGGCTGCTGTGTCTGCTGTCTGCTTGCACGTGTGTGCTTCTCCCTTCCTGTCTGTTGGCAGTACCCGCTGCTACAGAAGGTGCTGATTCATGAGCTGTCTTTGTTTGAGAAATGAAGTTGTATATGTTTAAATCTTTCCTTTTTACAACAACTTCTAAGAATGCTTTGAGAGAGACGTAGAGTAGCGATTGATGCAAAGAAGGGGAGAGGAATTAGAAAGTATGGACTCCAAGAGTAGCCCTCGTTAGATTTGTAGATCTTTCTGGTCTTGTGATTAGCAGCCACTGGTACTAGTGAGATTTTCCTTGCAAAGCCTTAGTACATGGTGAAGTGTTATGCCTATGTTGTTGAAGATGAAGTAATTTCCATTCTTAGCTTGGTGGGAAATCAGTAATTTAACAGCTTTTTAAGATGGTTTTGAAAATATAGCATCCCATTCAGTACGTGCAAATACTTTACTGTTGTTGTACCTGTGGCTTAATACCTTATTTCAAAATTTAGTTTTCTCCCTTGTTTGTGTTTTTGTGTTTTTTTCTCCTTTGTATGTTTCACATACACTGGCATGGTAAAGCTACCAGAACATACTAGGAAAAGGCTGTTTTCTTCTCTAGAAGTAAAATTAATAAACACTAGGTGGCAAGCTGTGCGTTGCCCTGCAGGTATGGTAGAAGAGCTATAGAAACACATGAAACGCTGGGAGAATCTAGTACTGTTAAAAGAATAGAAGGGCCTAGTGTGAATGAATGTTAGAGAAAAAGTTTTACCAATTGCATTCTTCCCTTTGCTGCTTCCTCTGCTTATGCCCTCAGCTTGATCACTGCGCCATGGTCTCTGTTTCACAGCTGTACTACAGCTTTTTTTTTCCGTACCTGAACTCCCCCACAGCAATGTGGTTGCACTTTACCCTTTCAAACTTCTCCTGGTGTTCTGCTTTTGCCTGGCTTTCCAGCCCTGACCTTTAGTCTGTGACTCCTGTCATCTTCGAGGGCTTTATTCTTTCTAGTTAGTAACATTAACTAAGTTGGGTTTCAGCATCTGAACGGCTGTGTGTTTTGGCAAACAATCCAAAGGTGTTGGTTTAGATTCTTCCCAGCGCCCTGAGGGGATTAAGTTAGGAGCAGAGGTGCCCTAGATTGCTTTTATGGTTAATGAGAAAGACCCAACTAAAGGATGGCTTGGACTACGTAAAAAGGAGACTTACGTTCCATATTTGCTTCTCTCCCTTTTCCCCTCTGCCTAATGCTATGGAAGACAGCACAATTATTAAGTTGTGTGCCCAAAGCTGTGGGAAAAATTCTCTTGACTCCCATGCTTGTGTATTTACTAGTTTACACTGAATCCCTTTAGTGTAAGACGTTTCTTGGCTCTGAGCAGTTGGTGTCTTGATGTCTGTTTTTTCTCCCAAGTGTTTTTAAGCCAAGAACTCCTAAAAATAATAATAATAAAATATAAAAAAGTATGTGTGGTGGTGTAGACAGCTATATTTGATGTCAACTCAAATTTACCATAAGCTTTTCAAGTCTTAGTTGCTTTTGGTAACATTTTAAGAAAGTAACTTGAGAGATCACAACTTGAAAGTCACCAATTTAGATCATGTATGTTCTGAAACTGCATCTTGGTCCTTCAGTTTTGTGATGTTACAAGCACAAATGATACTGCACTTACACCAATCCTCTGGTTTTTTGTTTTTCTTTTTTGCCTCCTGACAGGCAGTTCTTCAATTTACTTTCTTCAAGAGAATCCAATAAAGGAAAAAGCAAAGGCTTATGACGGTAACAAACCCGAGAAACCAGCAGAGCATCAACCAAACATCTATACACTGTTAAAAGGTAAAAACACTAGTTTTATCAGTACCTTTTCTGTGATGTTACAAGCGATTGCGTAAACGTGCTAAAATGACATTCTTTCGGTTCTGTTACAAAAGGGGGAGTTGTTGAGTTGAAATCTGAACAGATGAAGGTTAAAAAACATCCAGGGTGTGCTCCTGCCCATGAGTCCAATTAAAACTGATTGTAGTACGACAGTCACCCGCTCGGGTGCAAAACCTTAAAGCTCAAGAAAACAGTTTTAAACTTTGGTAAATACATAGCTGTCTGCTTTGTGAAAAGCAAAACGATGGGTAATATCATACCTGCTTCAAAAACTGTTGTAAGAGTGGATCTTGCCTCAGGCAACGCAAACCAAAACTGTTCTTTCTCTAAAGAGATGAGTGCTTTTTGACTTTAGCAGGGGGAAGCCAACTATACCAAGTGATTTCGAAGTGAGGGAGCACTTTTTCTGTTCACTGCTCAGATTTTTCTCTGTGTGTTACAGAAGCAATAGGGAAATACAGTGAGGAAGAAAATAGGATACTTTTTAGCCCAGCAGAAGGTAGTTACGTTCCTACAGGTGGTTTGGGTGCATCCGAATAGATACACTCTATAAGGGAGGTTTTTAGGAGAGCTGGTAACTAGTCAGAGTGAGGTAGTGCCGGGTGTTCCTTCGCTCACTCATAGTCCTAATGATACAGTGTTTATAGGAAAGCACTGGAAGCAACTGAGTGCAGACTAAGGAAATACAGACAGGAACCAGGTAGCTGAGATGTGCACACATCTGTGTCAGCCTGCTGTTTGCCAGGAGCACACGCGGGCATTTTGCTCCGGCGGCTAAGAACATGCCTGTGTTTGCGGCAGTGCCCCCGGTCTGACAGCAGTGTCGTTAAAGCGGTAGCTGTACACTGTTTATTTTTGGTTTTCCCTCCTGCCGAAT